CCCCTGCTTTGGAAAAGCCCCGCAGTGTGCCTTTGTTCAGAAGCGGGCTCCTAAGTGCGGGTGGGTGGTGGAGCTGCCGGGGTTGGGCGTCGCTTCCCAGGTGCTCCCCGAGTAAACCACAGCTCTCGGATGGCTCCGCGCGGTTTGGCTGGGCTTGGGTCGCGCCCCTCCTTACTGTGACCGAGCTGCGGAGGCTTTCAAAAGCCGCCTTTATCGGTCGCGTGGGGAAACAGTTGGTCTCTCTGCCGAGTAGTGAAAAAAACCTTTGGATTCTGTTAAACAGAAAGTGTGCATGGTGTCCGGTGGCTGCCGGAGAAGACATGACTCTGGTGTATTTCCTAAGTGCGTGATCGGGTGGGTGAGGTCCGTGGAATTCGGAGCTGCATCCTCAAGCTGCTCTAACTAGCGTGGATCGGGGTTCAGGAGCGTTTTCAAGTGTCGTTCATTGCATCAAGACAAATCGGTGGTACGGTGTGGTGGGGCTGACCCAGACTCGCAAGGGGGAAGGTTTGGGAATCGCTGCGTTAAGCGATGGCACGAATGCTGAAGGCCTCGGTGGTCCTGGGTCACTGAACCCAAGGTAGGAGAAGGCGCCAAGACGGCGTGACTACCTGTGGTCGGGTAAGGAAGCGGCTCCTCCATTGGAAGCCCGTTGTTCCCAGAGCCGTGGCCTCCGCGCCAGGCTGGATCCTCCCCTGTCCGTGCACGCGTATCGCGCAGGCGGCTCCGCCTGGGACAGCGTGCGGGCGACAGGACGGGTGAGCAAAGCGGGAAAGGTGGGAGAGGGGAGCAGGTGCGAAAGCGATTCGCTGCCCGCGCCACCGGCGCTAACCGGCTGGGGTGTTTGAAGCGAAGGGGGTGGCTGTGAGAGGAATGTCGTGTTCACCTCCCATTCCCTACGTTGCTTGGTCGTAGTTCCCCTGAGGCCGCGTCCCATCTGGCAGCTTTCTGAGGGGCGTCGAGGACCCCCGTCTGCTTCCCAGTTCCAGCTGGCATCCGAGGCCAGGTTCCGTCCGCCCGAAACGACACGTCTCCTTTGGCATCTGTAACGCGAAGGTGCCCGACTCCAGCCGGGAGTCTCGCGAGGAGACCTCCCCTCCCAGCCGGTTACCGAGCGCGCCCAGGGTGCTGCGCGGTGGCTTTGAACCCGGGGCTCATGAGCGCTGGCGGGGCTGCCGAGGTTTAGAAGGAATTTCCTGAAGCGCGAGACCTTCAGCGGAGGTCTGATTTTGGCAGGCGCGGGCTGAGAATGCCCTCGTGCGTGCAGTTGTTGGCATTTTGCTCCCTGCTTTTCAGCTGGGCTGGTTTCTCTCCGGTTTACGAATGCTCTTAGAATCGGAAGTTAAAGGTGTGTCGGTAACACCACAGCACCGACGCGCTTCTGCGCGCCGTAGGGCAGGATGAAGACCTCAGGGTAAACTTCCTTGTTCGTGATGCTTATTTGTGCACTTTGTGAAGACGCGATTAAGGGTGGGTTGGCATCTTCTGTTAGCCAAGGTGGAAAGTACTTTGGGCCAACCTAACAAG